CAGACCTTACAGGTGCCTCCGAAAACAGGCAAAATGGAGACTCCTGGCACTGTTGGGGCTTTAAATGAAAAGTTTAATGAAAAAGGCCAGTTGACTTGAAAATGCCCAAATGCTTCCAGTCTTTAAAACAGCTCCAGAGCTCCATAACATTCCTGGCTAGATAGGAACACCCTCTGGCTGCCCTTGACACCCCTCTGGGGAAATCAGACCTGTCTCACCAAGGGAGACAGAGGTCGAACTTTGTTCCGTGGGGTCTTCTTGCTGTTGGAATGAGTTGAGAAACATATCTTTACGTGGCACTTCCCTTGTGGCCAAGTATTTTTTTTTTCCAGTTCTTGGAAGGGTGCCAAAGGCTTGTCCAAGTGATTGCTAGTTTAGTGCTGGTAGACACTTAAATCTCTGGTCACTCGATTAAGAACAAGAGGCCTGGGTGTTGTTAAAGCTGTTGATACCATAGCCATGGTAGGTAATCCATATTGGATATCCATAAGGACCACGTGGAAATATTTAAAGAGAGAGAAATATATATATAAATATATAATTATATACATTTTATCGTACAGATTTTTCGTAAAAAAGAAAAAAAATAATTTTTTTTCCAAGTTTGATACTGTAAATCTTTATTAAAAGAAATTGCCAGTCCAGGGCTCCCTGGGTGGTGACCTGGAGGGGAATGAAATGTCCTGGCTAAACTTCCACAGAGGGATCAGAATTGCAAGGTAACGTGGAGGGAGGAATGACCCGAAAGCTGTTGACCGCATTGGAGATCCAGCTCCTCCACCCTCCTCCCTGGAGGGCCCTCCAGCTTGGGGTTGTCGCGTTGCATTCCTCTGGGGTTCGGTTTGTTTCTGTTGTGTTTTATTTTTTTTTTGTTTGTTTGTTTTGTTTTGTTTGTTTTTCTTTTTTTTTTTTTTCTCTCCGTCCTTCACTTGCCAGCCTGACACCCAGGGCGAGTGCTCCGTGTGGCGCTGGCGGCGTTGGGGCGCGTTCCCCCGCAGCCGCACCTCTCGCTTGTCTCTTTGCTGCAGTAGTTTGGATGCCGGGGCTCCCTTCTCTGCCCCTCTTAGTTTGTCCCCCCGGCCCCGCTGAGGAGCGGGGGGCTCTGATTTTTGAGTGCTGGGATCCTCTCCCCTGGGCCTGGCCTTTCTTTGGTTGCTCCCCATCCGCAGTGTGACGTGGGAACCGAGGGCTGGGCGGGAGGCAGGAGAAGACGAAAAGCGTCGTGCAGGGACCGGGAAGGGGCATCTCTGTTCTCGTAGACCTGTTTGCTGTGCTCTCTGTTGGGAGTGGGGAACCTTACCCTCCAGGGCAGCTCCAGATCCCTTAGAAACAAGTCAGTGTCTCTGCTCTTGCCCAACTCTACCATGAAGTGCAGAGACCTGGGTGACACGGCAGCTCCGGGATGGTCGGGGAGGGACGAGGCGCTGGCCATGAGCTGGTGCGGAGGCGAGCTGTGGCAGGGCCAGGCGCGATGCCACGGGAGCGTGAGGGACGGCTCAGACCCCGGGGAGGAGGAGAAGGTGGCAGTTTTTTCTCTCTCGAATCATTTAAACTTCATTGTCATGATTGTTTTTATTTAAAGAGTTAAAAAAAAAAAAAAAGAAAAAAAAAGAAAAAAAAAGAAACAAAACAAAACCGAAAAACTTTTGTAATGTGGATTTGTTTTCCTTCGTCTGTATTTCAGTCTGCTGGGGTGTTTCCGTAGATGGTGGATACTTGCTTTCATTTTTTTAATGATAGAAGTCTTCTGTTTTAAGTTGTTTTTTATCACCAGCTCATTCTATCCTCTGTGGTTACTCAGTAATTTCATTTCAATATTTATTTTTGTGCTGCTTTTTTATTATAAAATAAATTATTGATATACCAAGCAATGTGGATTCCTGTTTGTAAGGCGAATAGCCCTGTGTATGTGTCCATTACTTCTCTTGACAGCCACAACGTAATTTATTGCTGTAAATTTAGCTGCAGTGACTGGTTTTTTTGTACCTTTCCAATAAAGCATTTTCTGGTTTCAGACTTGCCCTGGTCTATGGTCAGCGTTTTGGAGCCTGAACTGATCTTCAGTGGAGTGTTTTGCTTGGTTTTTTTGCTGCCTGTCCCCAGTGCAGCACACAGCTGGTTGCTGGCTGTGGCGCTGCGGTGAGCAGTGTGTTTTTCGGAGGCAGGCTGGGCTAAGGCTAGTGGGATGGCAGCTTGGGCTGTTGCAATTTTCTGGCCCAGGCAGGCGGAGCCCATCTCAGCCTTTCTGCGGTACTTTCTTGGGCTAATTGGAATGTGCTCAAGGGATAGCTCTCGTCTGAGCTGTTTGTCAGGTCGATCCCATGCTCAGACCACGTGTACCTGTTCCTAACCTAGGCTGTGCCTTTGTGCTCAAGCAGTGTGTGTCTGTGTTAGCACAAGCAGGACTGACAGCTCAGCAGGCACCTGCCTGCAGTCGTGATGCTGAGCAAGGCCACTTGTGGCTCAGAGACACTGTGACCTGTCTCACAGTACTGGAGAGAGACAGTCCTCTTTCTTTGGGTTGTGAAATATTCCTTCACTGTTTCCCTGTGCGACTGCCTGTGAATAAACCCTTACATCAACACTTCATCTTTTTGCTTGTCCCTGCTGGGGCTGTAAAGGGGTGGCAGCTTGTGCCAGTGAGCTCCCAGGGGTTGCGTTGGCTTTGAACTCCTATTCCAAGTGGTTATTTTCTTTAAGGGGCAGCTGAAGGGGGAAAGCACTTGGCCATATTGACGCAATAGATTGGAGGCAGACGGGTGTGTTGGCCAAAGCTGGAATTAGAGGTAGGGCAAAGTGGAGAGGAGCAGGGCTGAAAGGCTTTGTGTGTCAGCAGGTAATGGATGGTCATTAGGTGGGGCCAGGAAGGCTTGGCTGAGCAGGCAGTGGGTGAAGCCTGGGGGTGATTGCAGTCTCCCTGCAGAGCAAGAAAGGCATCATCAGCTGCTTCAGCTCATGCCTGGAGAGACGGCAACAAGGAGCCAGTGACAAGGGAGAAGAGAGGGAGGTAGGGCAGTTGTGACTGTTGGAAGCATGGAGGAGCATTATTTCAATAAAAGAGCATCAGGAATGGTCCAGGTGGAGGTTCGACAGTGAAAGGAAACTCAACCTTCACCATACTTGGGGGAGAAGTCTTAGGGAAGGGTGAAGAGGGTGGCAAAAGCAGAAATCCTGCTCTCTGGTGCAGGTCTGGCAGCTTGTTGCCTGTCAGCAGCTGGGCCCAGGGGACTCACTGGTAGGTGTTAGCACCTAAAAAAAGAAGTGTCTGCCTCTGACTGGGTGCTGCATGGTGAGCAGCCATCTGTGAGAGCTGGCTCTCCTGTGGTGCCAGCAGCCACCTTCCTTCCCCTTCGCCTGTAGGGTGGCCAGCCCAGCTCCTGCAGGTGCAGTGGCAGGGCATGCCCTGGGAGGATCATCCCTGGTATGAGTGGGGTGTAAACCTGCCTGACCCAAGCCCGAAAAGCACCAGGAGATCCAATAGCTGCAGCTCAGCCTTGCCCTTGGGGAAAGCCCGAGGACAAGTGACAACTGGAAAACAAATCTGCCGACCACCAGAGCCTGCTGCTGGCAGTGAGAGATGCCTGTTCCTCCTGGGCTGCCTGCTGGCGTGGCTCCAGGCTCAGCAGGCTCCTGTGTAGGTCACCCGAGTGCTCGCCGCCAGCTTTCCCCACGTCCTTGTTGAGGAGGTGGAGGAGACGCATTAGCAGAGGAGCGCGGGACCGCATCCAGCCCACACCACCGCTGGCATTTCTGTTCCCTGTGGATGCGCTTTGACAGCGAGAGGGTTTGAGGGCCATGACAGCGCCCAGCCTGAGCCGTCAGCTCTTGCCTCTCTCCCCTCTCCAAGAAAAAGGACGAGCAGGAGGCCCAGCTCACGCCGGCTGGAGCAGGGAGGGTGCCTGCTGCTGCTGCTGCCGTCGCGGCAGCCAGCTGGTGTCCAGCCCAGCACGGCTCCTTCAGGCTGGTATCACACTGCTGACTCGCATGAGTCACAGCTGACTTTTTTTCCTTCCCCTCCTTGTTTGGCTTGCAAGAAGGATCTGTTTTACATATAATACAGTAATCAGGGCTTGACATAAATAGGCAAATGTTATTGTCTGCGGTGGGAATTGCACCTGCTGGCAGAGCAATGGAGGCAGCCCATTATGCACCGGAGTCGATCATTTGTGCAGTGAAGTACAACCACAGTTCTTGCTGTGTTCTTGTGCAAGTCTTTATCTCAGCGGCTGCGAGTGCGTCGACAGATGTGCCATCATCACCTTTGCAGTCTGTCCTCGCCCCGGGAGCCGGAGCAGCCTCTGCTCCTGCAGCTGTGGCCGTCCTCTCCCAGAGGGGTGAAGATCAAGATGCTCAGCTGAGATGTCCCTATTTCGGTACTGGCTGCGTTACAAAGCCAAGCAGCCTTGTCCCTCAGTGTGGAGGCTGCACTTTGTGGGCCGGACAGTCCTGCTCCCAGGATGCACAGGATCCTGGATGAGTGCCTGGATGTGCAGAGCATATGGCTCTTGTTTATGGACCTCATTGCGGGATAAGTGGCAGCTGTCTCACCTGCTGAGCAGGTATGAGCAGCTTTGGACCGCAGGGACTCACGAGACTGGCTGAACTATAGGATGCTTGTGTGGAGTCTGGGCTTCAGCATGGTGAGATTTCTCCAAAAATTATCAACAGAGGTTGTCTTGTTGGTGCTGTGGTCTGTGCTTAGCTTAGCTAAACCCCATCTAGTGCCTCTGAACCGCTGCATCCACACCTTAGGCAACGGTTGGAAGAGGTGCTGTGCAAGGAGAGGAAGCAGGGGACACGCACATTCTTTGTGGAGTGAAAAAGATGAGCACAAATCCCATAGGAATGCCAAAATGTGCAGGATGCTGCGTGTGCAGGTATTTCTGCTGGGCCAGCATTGAGGGGCAGGGAGGACGTTAAGCTTAAGAGCATCAGCATTATAGCAGGAACAAGCAGATCGTGGGCTCTGCTTGCTGAGCTCAGTGAAAATGCTTGCTCCGTGCTAGAAATTGCTGTTTATTAGAAAAAAAATAAATAAAATCATTTAATGTTATGATTTACATTTTGCAGCTTAAGAGCAGGGGAAAAAAAGACCCAAATGCTTGGAGTTGTGCGTAAGAGGGCTTCAAGCCTTACCCATGGGTTTGTTTGCCACATGACTGCAAATCTGAGGCTGTAGACTCACTCTTGTCCTTCCACTACCCAGCTCCCACCCCAGACAGCAGCCCAACCAGTGCCTAGGTAAGTTCACAGAGTTCATCTGATTACTAGGGAATACAAATCAGACTAAAAAATTGGGGGGGGAGGAGGGGGAAACAGGAAATTTAACAGAAGGATGTGCACTCTCCATCACTGATACAGGGAGAATCCCTCTATGCAGACTCTTCCCCTACCAATGGTCCTGCCCTGAGTGGTAACATCCCCCAGCACCTCTCTGTCCCCACCCTGGTCACCCAACTGGGCTCAGCTCCCACCTGCCTTCCCATAGGTCAGGCAAGGCCCAGGGACCGGGAATAGTGAAGGGTTAGGAGGAACAGACAGTTCCCACTAAGTGAATTCCTACCACCACCAGTCACAGTCCGGTTCCCTAATAAAGACTCTGATAAGGAAGCTGGAATCCCTTTTAACTTCTGATCCATTCAGAGATAAGCTGCTTTAGACATAAACAAGCGCTTCTGTCACCGGCAGCTCTCAGAAATGCAGCTGCAGATCTCTGATTAGCCCCAGTGAGGTCCCACCGTGCTCCCGGGGGAGTTACTCAGACAGCTGCATCCACATCTGGAGGGAGAAGATGACTTGCTCTTCCTCCACGGTAAAGGTCTTTTGCACAGCTCTGTTAGGCTTTTCTGGGAGAAGGAAAGGGGAAAAGATGTAAAAATAAGGAATGACTTCTTTCAACCATTACCGGGTTTTGAGGTGAAGCGAAGTCACCTTCCTGGGCTAGTTTTCTCCACAGGGCCCTTGGAGATCATTTTTTACTCAAATTGGGAGAAACTAGAGCAGAAGTGTGCTGAGAAAAGCATTTCTCTCAGGCCTCAGCACTGCTTAGAGCTAAGAGGAGAGCGAGGGCAGGTGGTCTGTCCTGCACCCTGGCTCCCCTCCCTGCCTGGCATCCCCCAGCGTTGGCACGGGGCTGGCAGAGAGGCACCAGCAGTGGGGCAGCAAAGCCCAGGCTGCAACACAGGATCAAACACAGCCTCATCTGTAACAGCAGGAGAGATGGGACAGCAGAAACTGGCACTATTTGATTTAACCTTTCCCTGGGTTATTGCATCTTCCCTTTGAGAGACTGGCTTTTTGGGCAGAGTTCCTGGCTTCCCAGCGTTCTGATGACCAGGCTGTCCCAGCCTCGAGATGCCTCCCATTTGCATGGGTTTAAATCTTTCCAGTGTCACCATCCCTTCTGATATCCCCTACAGCTCCTCATCTGACAGAATCAGCACTCTCTTCTCAATGTTTTTGTTCTTCCTGCTGCTCTGTCCATCCGTTTTGGAGGCCACGTGCCCATTCTGCCCCGGTGCCTTGCGCTCTGCTTCCTGCATTGACTGCTGGGTGTACTGCTGGTACATGGGCGAGAAGTTGTGGATGGCATCCTGCACGATGTCCTGGGGGCTGATGGTCTCCTTCAGCCCACTGGAGATGCTCTGCATCGGGGCGAGGTTTGCTGCAAAAGAGGGAGAGCGGGAGGGTGATGGGGCATCAGTCAGTCAATGAGGCCAAGCACTTCAAGACTGGGATGACACTTTTCTTTAGAAATTCAAGATCAGGGGCTCACTGTGGGCCACATCAGCTTGCAGTGGCAAGTTCCAAGGACAAGGAAGGCAGCTCCACCTCCACGTGTCAAAGAGGATAGATCCTCTCCTACAGCATGTGGGTATCACATATCCCCCAATTCTGCCCATCCACACCAAGGTCTGTCTTCCCATCCCCTTGCTATGGTTTGTGGTATCATGAGGGAAGAGAGAGAAGGAACTCACTGAGCTTAGGTTAAGGAAATTCCTCTTGTAGTTTTTAGAATCCCATTGGTAGTGGAATACTAATAAAATAAGGGGGGATTTCCTCTTTACTTAGTCACTGATAAGGGAAGGAAGAAGTGAGGAAGAATTACCTGTTGATTTCTCCTTCTTCTCCCTGTACACCTGGCAGGTGAATGCGTAGCGCAGGGCAATGGAAGCAAAGAGCATCTCAATGCAGATGATGAAGTTCTGGTAGCCAGCAGCCACTGTCCCAGCTCCCACCTCCTTCCCATCTATGATCTGAACTTCAGGGATCACCCCACATTTCTCCAGGATTGCCAGCAGCGTCCCTGTGCAGGGGAAGGGAGAGAGATCAGCTCTGCTCCTGCATCCCTGAGCCAGATGGGGCTATGGGAGAAGTGCTGGGCATCCATGGTGGGACCCACCCACCTTGCCAGAAGGAGAGGAAGATGACTGCCTTGATGGTGATGAACTTGAGGACCGGCTCAAACGGGCGCAGCAGGTCCATGGTGGCGAAGTAGAAGAGGAAGAGTGCGTAAAGTGCCAGGCTGACGGAGAAGTTGTAGATGATGGTGATGTAGAGGTATCCACTATGGACACTGAGGGGAGAGAGAGAGATGCTGCCTGGGCTATGGGGATTGAAGCAGGCTGGGGATAAAGGGGATCAAATGGGGAGGGGGAAAGTGCAGGCTTTGCCATAAGGGAGAACACAGCCCAGGTGGGGAAGCAGGGGCAGAGGAAGCAGGGGGCCACTCCCAGCTTTTCCTCTGTTTGGTGGGAGTTTTGTCCCTTTATTGTTTGGGGTTAGTGAGTCTCTGTTCTCGGCACTTTGGGCTCACAGTGCTCTCACTACCCACAGAGCAGCTCCCCGGGGAGATTGACAGGACACACTTGTGATGGAGCAGGGATCCATCCTCTCCCATTCACCCTCCCCAGCCCAACCCAAATCCTCACTTGAAGTCTCCATCGTGGTACTTCCCGAATGCCTGCAGGATGATGGTGATGATTGCCATGAGGGGTTTCACAATGCAGAACTGCAGTGTGGCCTGCACAGGGGAGAGACGTGGTATGTCCTGGGCAGCGGGGACATCCCACACCCTACATCCCACCCCCAGCCCCTCCACACGAGCCAACCCCTCTGCTCCTGGGACAGAGACACAGAGGAGAGAGCAGTTCTCATCACAGGAGTGACTGAGGGGTGAAATATAAACCAGCACAAGGTCTGCAGATAAGAGGGAGCAGGGCTTCCAGAAGGTAGCATAGCCACTCCAAGGTGGGGGACTGGGTGGCTTGGGGACAGATAGGTGGCAGGATTCAGCCCACAGCACTGCACTGGAGAGTTAGAGTGTCCAGGCTAAGCTGGGACTGGACAGAGATGGCAATCTGAGCTCTGCAGTGGGAGGAGACCCTGACTCAGCAGTGAGTCAGAGGCAAGGACAGTGAGTGTGCAGCCCTGCTGCTGGCCAGGTGCCGGCGAGCTGGGTGAGCTGCCTCCCTTAGAGAAAAAGAAAAAAAACCACAAAACCCAAACCAGCATTTGGGGAGAGTGATGAAGCAGAGCCTCCTTGTCAGGGGAGTGAGGGAGCGACCTGCCACCCAGAGAGCCCTTGTCCAAGGGGAGTGGAGCCGATGCTCCCCATCGGGTACCCACCTGCTTGCAGAAGCGCAGGAACCCGATGGAGTAGGACATACCCTGAAGGCAGCAGGTCCCATAAAAGCAGCTGGACCTGGAAGCAGAAGCCAAGGAGATGCCACTAGGGCTGCTGGATGGGGAAAGTGGGAGAAGGGCCAAGGAACTCATGGGATGATGGGACTTACGCAATGGGCTTCCCTCGGATCTCTGTCATGATGTTGCTCTCCCCTCCAAGGTACTCAAAGCACAGACTTAGGAAGCTGTAAATCACAAAAGCTGCCAAGGCAAGGGCAGACACAATCAGCAGAACTGATGGAAATTCAGGATGGGGTTGTTTCACCTCCCATTCCTTCCTGCTCAGGTGGCAACCTGGCACTGCACCAGCATTTGGTATACTGGTGGGTGGGGTCCCAGCAAGAGAAGCAGCAGGTCAAATCCATCTGACTTCCTAGCAGAGTCAGACATGCTGCACTATGTGCACAGAGTTCACAGCACGTGCAGCAGCTCCTCTGAGCATGCACAGTCCATTCAGGGACCCTCTGCATGGAAGGACCTTAAAATTGCCAAGGGACAGCACAAATGGCTGGTGGCCAGCAAGGAGCAGGTCCTGAACTCTTTTTCTGGACGTCCCTATCACTTATGTTTCATATGCTCCAAACCTGAACTAATACAAACACCCACACCACTTAGTTCCCCAGGAGGAGAGCAACAAGACAGAAAAGCAAAATTAATCTTGCACCTCAAAACACCCCAACTCCCCACTTTCTTGAGTTTGTCTACTTTCTGCTTTGGAGAAGATGCATTTCTACCCCACAGGGAGCCAGAAAACCTCTTTCCCCAGGAGCATGGTCCTGGAGTCCCTCTGAGTCTGCAGCCAGGTGTCTGAAAGGCACCAGTCTGTGGGGCATCTTCTCCAGGCTGCTGATGGAGAAGGGGAAAACCTCTACAGGGAGGAGAGTGGGAAGTGAAAGTGATGAATATTTGCCACTTTGTGTCAGGACGCTCCAGAGTTTGGTCAGCAGGATGAGAGACCTGCTTTGCCTTCAGCTTCCCTGCTGAGGAGAGGCTGTGCTCACCTTCATAGCAGTCACGAACTGAGTCAAAGTAGACGTAGTACTGGTGGCTGCCGAGGAGGAGGAGGCTGAGCCAGGAGTCGAAGGCATAGATGGGCACGATGAAGAGGATACGGATGATGTAGCGCTGCTCTTTGGGCATGGTGTAATTCCTCAGGTGTGTGTAGATCTGCAAAGTGCCCAGAATGCAGAGTTGTGGCTATCAAAGGTCAGGATGGGAACAAAAGATACCCCCAGCCCACAGGGGTGCCCTGTCAGCCTTCCTCCCAGGGATGAGAGCTCTGCCAGCTTCCAACCACACACCCACCGCAGTGAACAGACATAAAACAGGCTCCATCCCAGTCCCTGGGGCAGTCCTTTGCACAAAAACATGTGGAAATCAGGTTCCTTCCCTGGAGCTGTGCAAGGAGTGTGCTTTCTCCTGGGCAGCCCCATCCCAGCGCTTGGAGGCACCCACTTGCCCCAGGGCTGCCTTCAGCAGCACAGATCTGCACAGTACCCTAAACCATGCCCACTGGCAGTATGGCTCAGGGCAGCTGGTGCTGTGCACCCCAAACACCCCACTGGGTGTTGCCTCCAGGCAGTATCAATGCCCGGCAGCCTCTCCTGGCTCTGGCAATGACTCTAGGGGAGAGTGTGGGCAAAGTCCATCCTCCCGAGCTGCCAGCACCAGGCTCCTGACAGCGGAGATATCCCCTCGGGGCAGCAACAGGAAGAAATACTTATCCAGAGCTGAGTGATTTGCAATGAACTTGGGGGCAATCAATAGTTTTGCCCTCATGTCAACCCCAGCGCTGAGCCCCATCTCCGCTCCAGCCCATACCTGGTGGAAGGTGATGATGAGTGCCGACCACACGAAGATGCCAGAGATGGCCTGTGCCGTTGTCGTGGTCAGGAAGAGCTGCTGGCCATCCTGGGAGTCGTTGTGGGCAGCCATAAGCAGGGAAAAGGCTGGGGATGGAGGGGCTGAGGCCAGCTGGGCCGTGGTGCCAGGCTCCAGGGTGGTAGGTGCCACGGGAGAGGCGAGAGCACGTGTGGCATTACTCATCTGCAGGGAGGGAGAGGGAAAGGGAGTGGTGCAGGAAGGCAGGAGCGAGGTAAGCTGGTGACAGGGAAGGTCCCAGCAGGTTTCCCAGCCCACACAGAGTATATAAATCTGTGAGGTTTATCTCCTCCTCAGGGTTTTTCCAGGGTGTCCCTCAGCCAAACCAACCCATTTGCCATGGTTGGGTCTGCTTCTCTGCTTCTTTCAGCAGAAAAATGCAAATGTCCTTCAAGAGCAGACCTTCTTTTCCCTGAGGAGGTCTATGCAGTCCATGTGTCTCCCAAAACACATGCTTTTCCTTCCCAGCCTTGCTCCTTGTTTTCTCAGGAATAACTGTGTACGTTTGTGCCCACGTGAGTTCACACTTGTGGCTCAGGACCCTTTTCCATCATAAACCAGAGACTTGAGGGTTAAACTCATCCCTCACCCAGGATAATAATAAGTCCCTTACCAACAAGCCATCAGGACACCGATGTCCTCCCCTTTGGGAGCCCAGAAAACACTGCCATCCCTGTGGTCCCCCCCAAAAAATTTGGCTCCGTTAGTCATATGTAGCCTGCTGTGGGCAAAGCCCAGGGCTGCCCAAGGAGCCAGATATTTGGCATCACACCAGGAGAGCTCCAGCATCTCCATGGTCAGTCTGTGCTCCTGGAAGCTGGTTGCCCCAAGGCACTGAGCATTCCTGGTTCAGAGGGTGGCTGCGGCATATGAGCACCGTGTACCCTGAGGCTCCAGTCAGCAAGGACCAACCTAATAATAAGCAATTATTTATAGGGCAGCTTCATATCTCAAGGCCAACAGATGCATAAACTGCCATGTTTGGGTTCTCTTTCTGCTAATCTATGGAAAGCTGCTTTTTCCCAAGCATAATATTAGCGTTTTAAAAAAACAACAACAATCTGCGAGCAGAGCTCTAACAATATAGATGCTTCTCAGTGCATTGTTAATAAACAAATATTTTAGCTGCTGAGTAACTATCGTGTGGGGTAAAACTGTAAGCATGAACTGGAGAGAAGCATGAAAATATCTGCCACAGATAAGAGTGGTAGGGAATGACCTCGGTCCAATTAAAAACTGAAAACAAACCAAAGCAAGAGCTCACCCTGCAGCTTTCTCTTCTGCCCTCTCCCCAAACCCCAACCTCACAGGAGAGAAAACTCAGCTGGTGTCAAATCAACAGCCCTAAAAATACCTTTTCCCTCCCCTCCTCCTGGCAGGAGTCGCCTGTAAGCGGAGATGCCGGGGCGGCAGAGTGCTGGCCAGGCCCCAGGAGCTCACCCGGTGTACCTGTGCCCACAAGTGGGGATGGCTGGAGGGAGAGCGGGGCAGTGGTGGTGTGGAGACAGCAAGGAGCCAGGCTTTTCCTCCCCGCAACCGTCCTGTGGCCCTGCCCCGGCCAGCAGGAAGAAGGATCCCGGGAAAGCTGGGGAAGGATCTGGTCTTTGGACAGACCACAGCGACGCCGGACCTGCCTTGTAAACATTAACAGGAGGGACGGAGATAGCTCGTGGCACACGGAGGGAGACGAGAGACTGGTTGTGCCCCATTCCCCAGTCACTCCTCACTCTTTTTGGGGGCTGCCCTGCTGCTGGCTGGGACTATATGGCTGGATTTGGCCACTCTTTCCCTCTGCCATCGTGATAGAGCCGTACGAAAGCTCATTGTTCCTAGCTGTGTTTTTCTAGTCACTCTTCTAGTGACCCAGCCCACTCCCCAAGACATGGCAGAGAGCTGCACTCATCGCTAGACCCCTTTAGTTCTGTTTTCAACCCAGCGCTGTGCCACAGATGCTTGGCCTGAAACATCCCAACTCTTATGAGCTTTCCCAGCCATCTCCGTACGAGCACGGTGGCACCAGCAGCCGCTCCTGGCAGCCTCCCCGACATTGTCACACTCTGAACGTGGCGGAGCAAGTCATTAAAAGCAAAAGCCTTGGTGCCGCTCGGAGACAGGGCTCCCAGCTCCAGAGGTAATTAGATCCCGGCCGTGCAAGGTAGTCGGGCAATTCAATGCAGTTAGAGAGCCATTTACTTCCAAAACAAAGGCAGCAAGGAGACACAGGGAGTAATATCAGCTGCAAAACTCAGCTCCTGGATGGGACTGCGCCAGTGCCACATCCAATCTGTCTGTTCTCAGACACCTTGCAGGTACCTGCCATGCAGCATCTACCTGTTACACTCACTCCCTGGGATATTAGAGATGCCAGGTGAGCACTGAGAAGATAAACTGAGCAGTGAAACCCATATTAAGGCAGGCCAGCTGCAAACAGGCTTTTCACCTCACCAGGGATTCCCTTCTACCCGCAGGTTGCCAGAGCCTGGACTCCCAGCTCATATCCTTTCCTGTGTCCTGAAACACCTGGGACAAATCCCCATCCCGGCAGCAGCTCCTGTGAGGTGGAGCAGTCAGAAAGGAAAGATGAGCCCTTGCAGCCCCCCACCAGTGTCTCTCAGATCCCTGACCCTCATCCCGGGAAGGGGAGCATCCAGGCTTAACCACACCAGCACGTGAGACATGCCTTTCATCCTGATTGCTTTCAGATAAAGCCAGGACAGCGGGTTATTTACCCTATCAGCCTCTCCACACCACTCCCAGGCCACCCAGGAGGAAGGACCTACAGCAAGCACACAGCAACGAATCGAGGCAGGGCAGCATCGAGCCCTCCTTAAAGCCTGTCTGGAGGACTGGATGACGCAGGCATGGAGCTCTTACAGCAGGTTCTGCCCCCCCAGCAGCTCCTACAGGTGCTCAGAGCCAGTGGCTGGGCCAACCTCTGGTCTGTGGGGGTGTCCCCAGCCGCTGCGCACCCCCCAGGGCCCCACTCACCCTGTGGGGCTCCTCCGGTAGCGGGTCTGGCTGCCGTGCCCCTGCCTCTGCATCCCCTGTGTCCTCCTCCACCTGCACCCGCGGGAGACTCCTCCTCCGGACACCCTCCCAGCGCTGCCTGCCTGCTGGCAGCAGGCCCTGCCAGTGCCCCAGTTACCTTTGCAGCTCCCTGGGTCCTGCCAGCGCCTAACTCATCCCACCAGCACCCCCCTCTGCCTGCCAGCGCCCCAACTGCCCTTGGTGTGCCCCGGGCCCTGCCAGCACCCCACTTACCTTACCAGCACCCCCCTGGTGCTCGCTGTGCCCTGCTCACCCTGCCAAAGCCCCGCTTGCCCTCGCTGCGCCCTGGGCCTCCCGGGAGCTGGAGCAGCAGGTTGGGCTTTGTCTCCTGCAGAAAAGCCACCCAACTTACCTTTCCAGTCTGCTGCACTCGACACCCACACCCGGAAAGCAAACACGGATGGAAAGCCGCGGTTCAGCCCAAGGCCGCTGCCCCCTGCCCGGCACACGTCCTGCGGCTGCGGGCAGGAGCTCTGCCGGGCCGGCAGAGGCAGCTCTCCTTGAAATTGGAATTAATCCCTACCTGGAGGAGAGAGATGACTAAAAGGCCGGCAGCTGGTGGCACCTTGTGCCTGTTGTTTGGGGCAGGCCTTCCCCGAGTCTACTGCTGAGCAGAGAGGAGCAAAGTTAAAGGACCAATTCCTTTTGCTCCAATTATCGTCCATGGAAAGGCACCAAGGCAGGTCTGTCGTGGCTCCAAGCACCACACTGGAGAGATCCCCATGTCCTTTTCTCACTCACCACCCTAAGCAGACCTGGTGGCACACACAGCCAGGAAATGGTGACGGTTAACTTGTACTTGGCTTTCCAAAAGTTGCAGGAGATACAAACAAAGAGCACCAGGATTTGGGATAGACACTGAATTTTGTGTTGGAAAAGAATCCCTACTCACAAACCAGGATTGACAATAACAAATTCCACATGCCTCTCTCAGCCTTCCTAGACAAAAAAAAAAAAAAAAAGGAGAAGTGTAGAAGAGGGAAAATTTATAGTTATGACAGATGCAAACCTTTGATTCTTGGAAACACAGTTTGGAAAATTATTTTTAGATGAAGTTCCTTGTCAAGGGCAGCCGGAAGCCTGCAGTGTTTGAGTGTATTTTTAAAAAAAGTTTCATTTCTCATAATCCCTTAAATGCTGTAAATAGCCCTTGTTTCAGAGAAGAGTCCTTTCGAAATCCATTTTCTGCTTTTCTACTTCTAGGGGATTTTTTAGCAACAGAAATGACCCAGCAGCTGGATCAACACGGGGCAGGCACAGGCTCTGTGCTGATTCTGCTGTACCAACAGCTCCTCCCTGCCCAGAATCCAAGACCTGGCCTCCGTCTGCACTGTCAGGTTCATAAGTGACAACAGAGTGTAACGGCTCACTTAAAAATTTACTACTTCTTCTTGTAGGTAAGTAGGAACAAATGTGCTTTCCAAGCAAATGGCAAAAGTTTGGCTATTAAGCTTTGCCATCGACTCATACAACTTCATCTGACACTTTTTGTCAATGACTCAGCAGAAGCACCTTTGTGTAACCCTCCTCCCAAAACCCTCTGTCCTCAAGTCTCCTGTGACAGCTGCTCATTGCAGGTGGTCCAACCTATGGATGTTCTGCCTCTCTGTGCTGATACCACGTAATCTGCTGGCAGAGATTATTTTGTCTTCTTCTCACCACTATTTTGGGTTCCTGTCTTCCACTCTGACATCAGCTTTCATGAAATTTGCAGAGCGTAATTATCTGCCTCTCTTTAAAATCAGAGTGAAAGTGGAAAATGGATTCAGACTACATCAGGAACTGACATAAGGACAAAAGCAGTCATACAGGACTCATTTCCTTAAAAACAGGCAAGAAAACCCTTCCCATTATGCAATTGTTGACTTTTTACCAAAGCTTGTATTTCAACTGAAGTGATTTTCACAGAGCAAAAAAAGAAAACAGGTAAAATTAGATTTGTCAGTGTTTCTTTTATTCCCTCTGCACTGGGTGTTCCTCCTTTGTGGTACAGAGCAGCTACAGAGCTTGGCATGTACAGCTCCTAAGGACACAAGTGCAGAGCCGAGCCCTTTCCCAAATAAATGACCCACCCAACATAATAAAAATAACACTTCTCTTGTATGTTGTGACAATTGTTTTTGTCCTGTCACTGACTATATGGACTGCAAACCTGTCCCAGTAACAAAACCCACAAATGTTCTACACAGTAGAGAAAAATTCATCAAATTCCTCAGTACGTCCAAAACCACCACAAAGACATTCCATCATTTTCATTTCTTGTCCTTTTAAATAGGTGGTGATGAGTCATGGACTCAAGATCATTTCCTTGAATCCAGATGGCACAACTTCACCACACTTGGCAACTTCGGATCACTTCCCGTAGAGCCTGTATTCCTTCCATGGTCTTGTCCTTTAAAGCCATGGCGAGAAGAACAGGTTTGTTCCCAGCTTCCTGTGACACGAACGCCACCAGGTTTTTGGCACAAACATGAACGAGGGGCTGAAAAGCAAAGGGGATAGAGATGTACACTCCTACAGATGTACACTCCTACAGATGGGAGAGCCCTCCCACACAAGTTAGGAGAGGAGGAGTCAAGGAATGATGTCAAGAACCTGTTGATCCTGGAGCATGGCATTTGCTGTGTGGTTCCAACACGGTCAGCAAAGCCAAGCCACAGGGCAGGGAACTTTAGAAACTCAACCAGCCTAAAAAGGAAGAGTTTGGACCCATGAATGACAGCCACCCAAACCGCTCTGAAGCAATTTAACTGGAGCTGCACAGGAACTGAGTTTAGCACTGTCAGGAAAACTTGGAAAGTCAGTGTGGAGAATCTTTCCTTCCATTAATCCTCCCACACAAACTATGACACCAATATCCAATTATATGAAATGCTGTGGATCCAAATGTCTTTATTTCCATCAGAGCCAGACTTGTAAAGAGGTCTGCAAGTACAACCTTTTGTTTAAAAACCTGTTCTGAGGAGGGGATGTTCCGCTGACTAACACTGGAAAAAACCCTGTTATTTTTGCAATTCCTAGAGAATTCCTGTGTAACAGGCATGTTGCCTATTTTAACAGAATAATGAAAACCAGAAATAAGTAGTGAGGCTGAAGAAGGGAAGAGATATAACCAACCTTGTAAGGCTTCCTTAACAAGAATAGACTAGAACAGCATTGACTATTTCAGTTGGAAGGGACCTACCATGGTATCTAGTCCAACTGCCTGACCCACTCAAAGCAGACCAAGTTAAAACATTATTCAGGGCATTGTCCAAATGGCTCTTAAACACTGACAGGCTCAGAGCATCGACCCCCTCAAGCCTGTTTCAGTGTCTGACCACCCTCTCAGTAAAGAAGGGCTTCCTAATGTCCAGTCTGAACCTCGTCCAGCACAGCTTTGAACCACACAGCTTGTCTAGGTTTCACTGACACCCACAGTTGTGTATCTGTCAGAAGGTTGAGTCTGACTGATTTTAACCACCAGTCTTGTTTGGAAGTGTGCACCATCCCAAAGAGGGATATTAACAGTGACAAGCAGGAAAGGAGCAAACTAGAAAGCCTTTTCTTAAAGTTTAGATCAGTTAAGTTGGTTAAAATGATTTAAAAATAGAATTTAATGAAGTAAACATAGCATTTCCCATTTCCAAATAAAACACAAAAGCAGATTGGGGGTGGAGGTGGTCAGAATTAGCAGATATCATATCAATGAAAGCAAACAAAACATCTCCCATCCAGAAAGGGAAGGTTATTACTGAAGAAAAAGAACTCCATAAGGGGAAGCTGTAGATAGAATCAGGAACTTGTGTTGCTACAGTTTTTCTAGTTAAAGCTAGCAAGTAATATTTAATAGCTTCAACGCTGATGGAAAGCCTCATGAGCATGTAGCTCTGTAACTTTCTGTTTTAATGCCTGACCAGTTGACACTTTGCGAAACACATTTTCTTCTGCTTTCTCTCCAGCCTTGTGAAATGGTTGATAAAAACTCATTTTGTTGAAGCAAAACAAATTAAACTTTATCAAGGGAAGGTGCTGGCAGGCACACTTAGGTGAGGGCAACTAAAGTCCATTATGGGGCTGGCATACAGTGATGGGGGGGTGGGGAATGGGGGTGATAAAACAGACCTGTAAAGAAAAACAAACTCACTGGAACAGAAACCCAAAAAGGTTATCAATGGCTGCACATTTGATCTTGCAATGCTTAAATCAACAGAGCTTTATCAAACCTTGCATAAACACAGAGAAGCAACCCGTATCCTGCAGGACACAAAACACCAGATCCCCAAACCACTGACGGTTAGCTAAAGTTTTATGTCAAACAGCAGACGAGCGCACATATTTTTCTGATGAACCCCCTCTTCCCTCAGAAGATATTTTAAAATTAATCTTATCACTGTTCAAACACTGCTCTAACTGCTGTGATTCATCAACTCCCTGGCAACTCGCACAGCCCCCACCTACTACATTTCCCCCTTATCCCTGCCTGCACATCCGCTCGCTCTCACCTCATCCTTGCCCAGCAGCACCTTGGTGGTGAGCGAGGGCCTGCCCACGTTGTCGCCGATGGTGTTGGGGTCCACGTAGACGATGGTGCCCATCTTGCCGTACTGGGTGACCACCACGAGGACGGAGTTGGAGAAGGCCGTGCACACCACCTCGGTGGGCACGCCGCGCACCACCTCCTCCCGCTGCTTGGACGTCACGATGGGACCCGCTTCCATCGCTGCCGGGAGAGAACGGGGCGGCGAGAACAGCAAAACAACGTTAGGTTACAAACGTGGTCTCTACCGGGCTGTAAAAAAGCCCAAATCTTTCCTCGTCATTTGAAACACCCTGGGTTAAGTTAGTTTCAGGGCACAGGAGCATCCGGAGGTGGGTGTCAGTGCGGGACAGCGCACATCTGGTTAGGGGGGGGACATTTGGCAACCTCGCGATGACATCACTCCCCCGGCATGGCCAAGCTGCCACTGACAGGCTCAGCGTTAACAATGCACCAAGGAGGGGAACCCGAGCCCCGCTTTCCACCCCGGGTCCCGCAGGACCAGGCTTGTCCTGAGGGAGGCAGAGACACCGCCACCATCACCCCTCCCGCCAGGCCACGGCCCCCGCCGCCCCTACCCGTGCCGCCGTTCTCCGCCCAGGCCCGCCCCGCCGCGGCGGAAGCGGAGCCTTTCCTTTCCCTTCCCTTCCTTTCCCTCCTCCCTCTCTCCCTCCCTCAGCCGGCGCGGGGCGATGGCGCAGGGCGCCCGCTGCCCTCACGGCCCGTCCCCTCCCCTCCCCTCAGCGCCGCCGCCGCCATTACCCGCCGCGCTCGCGCGCGGGAAGGCGCCATCTCCAGCCCCCCTCACGGTCTCCTCATGGCCGTAGTCTCTCACCGGCCCTGGGCTGAGCTCCTGGCCCCGGAGAGGAACCCCTTCGCCTGACGCCGTCTCCTCCACCGTTTTCTCCCCTTTCCACACCGCTTCCCAGCGCGGGTGGGGCAGTCCCGGGGCAGGACCCCGCAGCGCCGTGAGGGAGTGGCGTGTCCTCCTCCTCAGGCCCGTGAGGGGACAGGTGACCCTGATGGCCGCACTTTAATCTTCCCAGCGTGCTTTCCTATCTAAGTAAAAGTGGCTTGTAAAGCAGGCTGATAGAAGAAGAGGGAGAATGACTTTTTACATGGGAAGACAGGGATAG